AGACAAATATACTCCGCAGCTCACGCGAGGGCCTCCACATAATCCCTCCACCCTATTCCTGACTCCATGGAGAGTCTGCACATTTATCTTTTCATTTAATTGTTAACTTTAATTTTAATATTGTTTTCATTTTAATATTGTATCACCAAACCTAGAGGCTGTGCTTGCTGAGGCCGATTTAGGCTGTTGGTGTTTGACAGACATTGCAAGGTTCGGAGTTATATTGACATGTTTAAATAGGAGAATGTTTTGCTTTGTGCTACCATCGACCAGCTAACCTACCATGTTTCCGTAGAGCTACCTATTATTTACCTGCCTTTCACTACTATGCCTGTTAAGTACGATGTTATACTACGATGTTATCTTGCTACATTATCTTTGACGCACATATATGCCTTTCTGATGTACACACCAATGAAGCTAATAAACTTTGAATGATTAAAAAAAAACAAGTAAAGTATACATGGATTTAGTTATTAGGTTAATAATATAGATACTGGAAGTAGAATTCAGTTACCCAGAAGTGGTATATTAAAGTTGGGCTCAATAGTGAGTGGATGACAAAAAGTATGAAATTGACCAGTAAAGGAGTGAGCAAGATTGTGAGTAAAGTATACACCAAAGAAGATGATATTGAAAATTATTCAGTAAACTTTGAATTGCAGAGAACTGATTTGTAAAAATGTGTCAACTCATCTGTAATTACAGCTTAGATGTTTTAGCCTAAATTTCTCCACTCGGATTTCAATTTGTTAGTATATGACTTTGTGTAATTCTAGTATCCTGACCCGACTTGTTTATGACCTTGCATATTCCTGATATCCTGAACCAGCTTGACATTACATTTATCCGTATTTCTATATCCCTGGGGTCAAGTGGCTATCGTTGACTCTTCCTTTATCTTTATTAACATTAAGTCTGGCCACTCTAAGGCCCTCTAATACGTCTATCTAGAACCTCTATTTGAGGGATTCGTGTAAGTTGGGGCACGACCCCGTGACAAGAGAATATTGTATTGCCACACATTAGCTACTCTTATAACAATTGAGTATAAGAGGATCTAAAGGCCGCATCCTTCTTATTTATTATTGCTTACCATAGGCAGGCATTTAAGGCCACAGTCTACCTATATTTTAATAGAACACTTCTAACAGGTTAACGTGCCAAATCACAAAGCATATACCATCTCATGTTGATTCATGACAATAACAATGAGTTCAATGTACTCAGAAGGTTTCCAGTCACCAGATCACAATCCAAAAGAGAATATTCATAGCATGGATATGAAACTAACAAATATGCAGCAATTGCATGATGCTATCCTGTCAACATTGCACACAGTAGTATACCACAATGTATATAATAAACTTTATTATGTCCAGTTAGTACAAATTCCCACACAAAAAAATACAAATGAACAAAAAAGATACATGTGTATGTGAGGATGATGCAAGACATCCATTAAAATCCATTTCAAGACTTCTAGAAATACATTTTGGATGAAATACTGGGGATTTATGTTCTTTGAGAGGATATGGCCTTCTTTTCAGGTTTGTTGCTTTTTTTTGGGTATGTCTAACTATTGTTCATTCTCTGGTTGTGTAGGATAGGAAAGAACTAGTATAGCACCTGCTCAGTCTGTTATTTCCTCTAGAACTGCATATCCCGATTGGTGTTCCGTGAAACCCTGGGGTTCCACAAGAACAAAAATGGGGTTCCGGCAAAATTTTCAGAATCAAAATGTCCACCACCATAATTGAGACAGGTGGCGAGGGAGCACTCTCCCTTGCTCAACTCCCTCGCAGCAGTGATGCCGGAGCAAGAAGATGATGTCACTCCGGCTCAGGCATCACTAAGAGGTGCGTGAGGGAGCTGAGCAAGAAGATCACTGCTCCCTTACCGGCTCCCACTGTACGCCCGCACACCAGCCACTCAACCCAGCAGCCCCACTTGACCCCAGGGAAATAGAGACTCCATAAAAAGAATAATGATCCTGTAAAGGATCCTTCTATTCGTGCAGTGCTGATCCTTGTAGCTTCTCCCGAAATCCAGCTGAAACAAAGTGATTATAACTCCCAATCCCCCAAACATGAGTCGAGACTTCATGAAGGGGTAAAACGATCTGATTTACTGTGGGCTACCTGCCCGGTATTTATGCAGGTCTCCCACCTGGTGGACACTCCCCTAGGGGACCAGATGGAAGATTGGGACAAAATAATTACAGTAGCCAATCACAGTGGCTATAACATAAGCACTCCCCTTTTACATAGTTCACTCCCTCCTTTCCATCCTGGAGATAATTAACTTACGGTAGCAAAGAGAGTCTTAATTATCTCCAGGTAGAAAGAAACATGGCTTTTCTTATTATTCATCAAACAGCATAAAAATCTATAACTTACATTTTACATGACATAAACTTTAAGTCCCACATACCCCCAGATAGCTTGGATCTGAGTGCATATTCTAGGCGAATAGCGCTCAGATCCCACGAACACAGTTCTCAAAAACGTCAACTGAAGTTTGACTTTCACCGGCCGTTCGCATGTTTGTATCCGACAACAAGTTCCATACTGTAGCTATCTGGGGCCGGTCACTCCAACGCATGAATGGTGTAGGGTCTCCGGCATTCGTGTGTTTTCCACTGTATGAACGAGGACCTGGAGAGGTAGCAGCGGTGTTCGGCAAAATAAGTATCTGAAATTAGTTCCAGGGCATCGCCGCATTTACCGCTGAACGTTCGACAATCCAAAATGACGATTGCCACATGTTCGGTAGACGAACACGGACCACCAAGCTATTCCCCAATTAGTCTGTGGTTAACCGCAAAGTCTGGGTGGTTAATAGGCGCCACACAACCTCAGTAGGAGGTCGGGTGGTCCGGCAGTTCATTCGTTTTTTCTCGCTATTTGCACGAAATCACTCTATACACATCTGAATAACCGAACAGGCTGGTTCGCATAGTCTGTTCAATAGGGGATTTTGTTACACAGCTCCCCCTTAGTCCCATGGAACGGCATACCTGCTTAGATCCTAACGGGTCTGCTAAGGGATGTCCAGCAAAAAAAAATAGTTACTTTTCCAGTTCAGTTTGCCGTGACAGGCCATCTGCATTGGCATTCTGCTGGCATTCTGCTTCCCGGGACGATACTGCATTGTGAAATTGTAGGGTTGCAGTGCCAAGCTCCATCTGAGTAGCCTGGGGTTATCGCCAGCTACTCTGTTAACCCAAATAAAAGGGTTGTGGTCAGTCATCACCGTGAACGAACGTCCATACAGGTAGGGTTGTAGTATATTAATGGTATATTAATCCGAGTCCTCTCATATATTATATCCACAAATTTCCTATAATAACCTGCGGTGCCCAAGAACGCCATGACCTGCGTTTTAGTCCGGGGTTGGGGCCACTGGGTGATGGCCTCAATCTTAGCTGGCTCTGGTCTCTGTTTTCCTGACCCTACTCTGTGGCCTAAATATTGGACTTCAGCCATTCCTACGTGGCATTTCTCAGGCTTCAAGGTGAGCCCTGCATTCTGAATTCGGTTGAGCACTACTGAGATGTGTTCAAGGTGGGCTTCCCAAGTGCCACTGAAGCAGGGCCAGACTGGGGATACAAAGCAGCCCTGGAAAATCTACTTCAGCCCCATAAGTCACTGCGCCATGTATTGTCACATGTAATACATACGGCTATGTGTTGCCACCTTAGATGATTGAGTAATATATAAATACAATATATATATATATATATATATATATATATATATATATATATATATTGTGTGTATTTATTACTCAATCATCTAGGGTGGCAAGACATGCATACATATACATATATGCCTTACATATTATTGAGATATATATATATATCTTTTTCTAATAAGGTGGGTAGGGAAGCTGTAAGGTGGGTAAGGGGCTATGAGTGGGTAAGGGTTCTGTAAGGTGTGTAGGGGGGCTGTGAGTGGGTAGGGGGGCTGTATGGTGGGTAGGGGTTCTGGAAGGTGGGTAGAGGGGCTGGAAGGTGGGTAGAGGGGCTGGAAGGTGGGTAAGGGGCTTGAGGTGGGTAGGGGGAGCTGTATAGTGGGTAGGGAAATGTAAGTGGGTATGGGGGCTGTATGGTGGGTAGGGGGCTGTATGGTGGATAGGGAGCTGTATGGTGGGTGGTTAGGGGGCTGTGTGGTTGGTAGGAGGGCCTGTATGGTGGTGGGTAGGGGGTTGTGAGTGGGTAGGGGACTGTGAGATGGTTGGGGGCTGTATGGTGGGTAGGGGCTGTATGGTGGGTAGGGGCTGTGAGATGGGTAGGGGGCTGTATGGTGAGTAGGGGCTGTGAGGATGGGTGGGGGGCTGTATGGTGGGTGGGGGCTGTGAGATGGGTGGGGGCTCTGAGTTGGTGTGGGGGCTGTATGGTGGGTGGGTGGGGGCTGTGAGTGGGTGGGGGACTGTGAAATGGGTGGGGGGCTATATGGTGGGTGGGGGCTGTATGGTGGGTAGGGGACTGTGAGATGGGTAGGAGGGCTGTATGGTGGGTAGGGGGCTGTGAGATGGATATTGGGCTGTATGGTGGGTAGGGGGCTCTGAGTTGGTGGGGGCTGTATGGTGGATGGGTAGGGGCTGTGAGTGGGTAGGGGGACTGTGAGATGTGTAGGGGCTGTATGGTGGGTAGGGTGGGGGCTGTGAGATGGATAGGGGGGCTGTATGGTGGGTAGGGGGCAGTGAGTGGGTGGGGGGGCTGTATGGTGGGTAGGGGGCTGTGAAAGGGTAATTACTTTTTAGTTTTCTGTTATTTCCTGGTGGTCCAGTGGGCAGCTTTCCAGCAGGTCAGGAATGTGCGTGGGGGCGGAGCTTACATGCGGAAGGCGGTCTTCTGTTCAGGAGGCGGAGCTTCCATGTGGGGGCGGGGCATGCAGCCAAAATGTAGTTACACTGTGGAGGGAGACTGACAGGTCTCCCTCCAGCCTGGCAGCCACACCAGCCCCCAGCTCCTCCCTCCTTATTCTAATAATCAGCATAATGAAGTCATTTAAATATTTCCCCCTTGGACTGTGCCAGCCTGTCAGTCCAAGGGGGAAATATTTAAATGGCTTTTTTCATGCTGATCATTAGGGCTGTCAGCCCAGCCCCAGCTTGCTGCGGCCCACCGGGAAATTTCCCAGTATCCCGGTGGGCCAGTCCGGCCCTGACTGTACCCCTCACACACTGTACCCCTCACATACTGTATCCCGAACACACTATACCACTCACACACTGTACCCCTCACACACACACTGTTCCCCTAAAATTCACAAACTGCACCCCTCAAACACACACACATACTGCATCCCTCTGTGCACCCCACACACTGTACCCCTCCCACACATACACATTGCACCCCTCACCCACAAACACTTCACTCACACACACTGCACCACTCACACAAACACAGAACCTACTGCCCCTATATCCTGCTAGAGCCCCTATCCCAGCAGACTCAAGGTTAGTTGTCAAACTGTTCTAAAATGGTTTAACTACTTATTCTGGGAGGGCTCTACAGGACTCCGGGCACCATAACCACTACATAGAGCTGTAGTGGTTATTGTGCCTGAATTGTTCCTTTAAATAATCTACCAGGGCCCCTCCAAGGTTCTGGATCCGCCCCTGGCTATTGGTAACAAAGGTTGAACCACAACAGGGCAATGACCTAAGCCCTAGGTGTCTTTTTATATTGTGGCTCTTTAATTGTGTAGCTACCACCCCCAAAATTTTCAAAATCAAACGCTTTGGCGGGCCATGATGTCATCAGTGTCATGCCGTTAATGCACATGCGCCACAACATAAAAAGGGGCGGGGCTGCAGTGGAGGACTTTCCCAGGCTTTATCCCAGCCTGGCAAACATGAACAGGTACCCTGACAGTCCCGTGGTTGTAACTAGTCCCCAGCACATAAGTGCAAATCATTTCAAGCTGAACTTCTGCACAACCTGATTTCTTCCTTCATAACCACTTCTAAAAGAAGTGTTTTATCAGAGTCTGTACAGATGTTTTAACAACAACTAGATGTATACTTGCAAAAACATAATATTCAGTTGTATAATTTTTCAATTGTAGGGTAATAGCTTTTTGATCCAGGGCTAAATCTGACTGACATTCTGTTTGTTGTAAAACTGGGGTTTTTTTGTCTTCTTTTGTATCAACAGCAAAAAACAGATGTGAGGAAAGCTGAATTTGATGGGCACATGTCTCTTTTCAGCCTATGTAACTATTTAACTATGTAACTATAGAAGTGGCCATGGATTTAGGACTAATGCTTTAAAATCTTATGTAATTGCTAAAAACATATGTGGAACATAACTCCACTCAATTTCAATCAGTGGGTGGTTAAGCCTGGTAAGAATTTTTGTCCATAATAGGAAGGTGAACCGAGTGTCTTAAAGGCAAAGCAACACTCGCACCTTCCCATTGCAAATTGCCAGCCCTGTGGCCCCCACATATTAGCAGATAAAAATTTTTTAAATAGCACAGCAGCAGTGCAGCACGGAGCCTCAATTTTGAGGCTTGATTAGGGTAGGGTGACCACATTTCGAAAATGCCAATCAGGGACACTTCCTTGCCCCTCCCGGATCCCCTCTTCACACCGGACACAGCGGCGTAGAGTGGGTTTCAGCATCCATTACCCCCATATTTCATATCCCCGTCATATTACATGTACACCCCTCATTTCATGTCCATCCCCCTATATTTCATGTCCATTCCCCCATATTTCATATGCTCCCCATATTTCATGTCCATTCCTTCCTATTTCATATCCCCCCCATATTTCATGTTTATTCCCCCCCATTTCATGTCTTTTTCTACATTTCATGTCCACCCCCCACTACTGACACACTAAGAGGAAGGGGGTGAAATCTTAATCATGGAATCACTATTAGTACTAGTGAGTCCATGATAAAGAGTTCACCTCCCTCCCTCATTCCATGCACATACCTGGTCCTAGGAGCTCCTCTCTCTTTCCTCCCACACGGCCGTTTGCAAAGAGAGCTGAGAGGAAGTTATGTCATCGCATGTGACCTCACTTCCTCACAGCCATGGGAGGGCAGGGAGTGTCACGGGTGGCGGTACGGAAACCGGGACCCATGAGTGCCTGAAGTGGAGATGAGCAGAGTCTTCAGCGAGGTAATGGACTATCAGGGCAACCATATGCCCCCTGGTGTTGAGCATCAGCGTTTGTGCGGCCACATACCAGAGCCCTGATGCAGCTACTGCGGATCCCAGGAACTAGGAGCATGGAAATTAAGCAGACCTCCCAGGAGCTGAATAGGGAGGCTCTGCAGCAAGAATGTATCCAGTACAGAAACAAGGCAAGGCAAGGCAAGGATAGTCACCAAACATGAAAACAAGACAGAACTAATAAAACCCAGAACCAGAGCAGGACAGAAAGCAGAATCCAGAACATGTACACAAGACATGAGGAAAACAAGAACAGGACAGGACTGTACATGAACTGGTAGTACAAAATAAAACAAGACAAGATATAATAGGCAAAACAAGAGGAGACATAACTAAGCACTATATATGAAAAGTATGGGGATTTAGTTACATTATATGATCATGCATTGCATAAGCCTGCCACAATGCCAATGTACCCCATATCTGGCAGGTCCTACTCTGCCTAATGTATACTAAAAGAACCATAAGAAACACATATACAGCACTTACCTGCAAGAAAGGGCAGAAGGCTTGAGCAGCTGCCTGCAGGACACTGAAACAAAAAGAATGATGGAAAACAAACGGGTGTGGCAACATAAAACAAACATTTCAAGGAAACATGGACACTGGGAATTCCAGGGACGGATTACAGGAATGAACCCAGAAAAACCCAGCATAAAGAAAACCAGACATAGAATAGAAAAACAAAAAAAAAACAAGAAAAACTAAACAAGAATTGTAAAAAGAGTACTGGATACCAGAAACCAAAGCCAGACATCTCCGCAGAATATGGCATGATGTGACAGGGAAAGAGGGAGGGTTGCCTTTCGCACATCTCCACTGGTGGGTAGCAAATGGGGGCCCGCGGTGCTGGAATAGTGGGGAAGCCATGGGGCCCCCTCTTCACTAATATGGGGCCAAAGCTCATTCCGGGACATTACATTGTCCCAGAAGGAAGGTTCCTGGGACAGACCCACAAAATGCGGAAATGTTCCGGGTGATCCGGGACACGTGGGCACGTTGGCCCACCCAGTGTACACGCCTATGAGGAGGATCGTCATTAACTGTAGAGGCCAATTCTGCAGCTAATAAAATATAAGCTTTTGTCAATTTTTTTATTATTAAGGAAAAAATATAACCAGCAAGAATAGTATAGCGGTGTCAGTCAAAATATACTGTGAACCACATCATATGTTAGCAAACACATTTAAGTAGCAACATACAAAAGGTGCACAACAATACTGGCAAAACAAGAGTGGGTAGAGTGTGCTATCTTAAGAGGTTCAGGCCCATTTTATAATTATAAAATTAGAAGCATGCTTTACATTACCAATGCCTCCCTAGTAGTTATGTTGGCTAAAGCGCACCACATCGGGGCGGTAGTAGTTAATAACTAGAGTAATGAGGGTGTAAGTAAGGCTCATCAAGGTAGCGAGAGTGGGCTTACGGTCCCTATGAGTGGACAATAAAAGAGTAACCACAGTTGGCCTTACAGGCCAGGGGCCATGGTGCTTTGGACTGCAGGGTTTAGGAGCTCCATTTCCCAGAAACTCGGGGGGGAAATGTTGGTGCTGCTCTTCAGCGGGTCGAGGCACACTTTTGGCACAGCTCCTACAAACTGCAAATGGGGAAGGTAGGATGTACACCTAAGAACCCATTTGGGGGCGGGGTCGGACTGCCATGCTGTGTGGACGCATGAGCAAGCAGCTCCAGCAGCATTTCTACTTTTCAGTTCACCAAAGTGGATAACTTACCTATAAGACGCCTGGAAACTGCAGTCCATACTGGTTTCAAGGCTGAGCCTGTATATTGCCTCTCGGTCTCTGGGAGAGAGATCCTCAGTCACCATGGCTGAGGCCTACTCCGGGGGTGAGTGGAGTGGACGGCCGCCACTCTAATATCCTGCCCAAATACTGCGTGACGGATACTCGGCTCCCCGTTTTGCTGGCCCTGTTCCCTCCCTTTGGACCGGAAGGGGTGATCCCGGTCCTCACCTTGGGGTGCCCTGCCGATAAACCTCAACTGGAGACACTGCGTGACAGAGAGGCCCTACCTCAATATGGCGGACACTGTATGTCTAGCTGACAGTAGGGAGCAAGCTAACTTTGCCTTCTCAAACACCATGGGCTATGCAGTCCTTTGGGATAAACTTATCCAACACCTCAATATAAAAAGAAAGTGCACAATTTAAAGTAATTAAAATAGGAAAGCTCAATACACCTTGAGTGGTATCTCCTAAACAACCTCTATAAACAAAATATAGTATAAATCTGTGGAGATAAAGCACAGGAAAACAAATTGTGCAAAATAGCCAGAACAGGTAGCGTTGTAGATAGTAAAATTAGGAGTGTCAGTCACAAGTGGAGAGCCATTAACATCATATGGCTCGGATGGAAAGCGTGGAAGGACACTTTAAGGATGTCCAACTCCTTTTGTCTCCCGGCCCTCTGTGTGTAGCTCTATCAGTATGGACACAGGATGCAAGAGATGTTTCTTTAAAGAGATTCTTTATTGGATAAAAAAAATCAAATTAATGAATAATATTAATTAATAAAAAGTTAAAAACCACAAATGGTATGTGGACAATATAGTCCTAGAAGTCCAAATTGGTTTTGCCCTTATAATGGGGCTTCCTCCGTTGGTCGTGATGTTCGTCTGAATTATCTTCTCTTTAAGTATGCCGCCTTTCATTCACTCCCGGTTCATCATTTCCAGCATGCCTCTCTCTTGGAACACATCTTTTCCAAAATGTCACGTGGGTGCCTTCTATTACCGTGAAGTGATGTCTGCGTGTTGTTCTGGGAGTGTCTCTACTTGTTGTGTAGGAAGGAGGTTTCATTTTCATTTCATGGAACGCAGTGCTATATGATAGTGTTCCACCTGCTAGCATATTGCACTCATTGGGTAAAAA